GACTGTAGCCCTTCAGTGGACTGTAACCCTTCAGCGGACTGTAACCCTTCAGTGGGCTTCCGTGGGTTGGGCGATCCATCTGGCGGCGAGCAGCGTCTTGGGCAGTGCGGACGGTCCTTGCCGCAGGTCGTGTGCCTGAGGGCTTGGCGCGTGAATACGACGGGGAAGACTGGTTTACTGTGTAACCAGCGGCAACCAGTCCAGCCAGCGGCGACCTAACGGGCGGCGACCCAGCGAACGGCGACTTGCTGTATGCAGGGTCGGCTCTCTGTGGGTAGCAGCGAATCGCCGTTCCTTCTTTCTGGGAGGCTTCGCCACTCCGCGGTCCGTCCCCGCACCGATGTCCGTCCCCGCACCGATGTCCGTCCCCGCACCGATGGAGGGCCCTTCGAAGTCTATCTTCCGCCGCGTTTGGACCATCCACGCCGAACAACATGGCCGCCGAAAGACCCTCCTGGTTCCCGCAGCTGCCGGCGTGATTGGTCCGTCCTCCCGTGTCCCAGGGTCGACCCGCTTGAGTCCGCCTCGGATCTGCTGGTCTCGTGCCTCCTCCGCACGTGTATTTTAAATGTCTGCAGGGCACTTGGAGAAGCACTTGGAACTTAGCCTTTTCTTCATTCATGACCCGACGGCTATGCTCCAGTGCCGCTGACAAGCTCTTGTTCGCGGGCGCAGACCGCCGACAATCCATCTCGCCATCCGCCTCCTCCAGCACGGCACCATATGTATCGATCATGGACCTGATCCAAGCCTCATGCTCCATTCTAAACGCGCTGACAGGACTGGCTCTTGTCGGTGAAGCTCTTTTTCCCTCGCCATGTTTGCCACTGCTCTCATCTTTACCCTCGTCTTTACTGCGCTTAAACACTCGAGACAATAGCTGTCGCCTTAACATTTTTTCTCGAAAGATTTTGTGATTATCATGGACCCCAATCAGCCCCTTTACTATGTACCTCCTGGCCCTGATGTGAGTCAACACTCTGCAAACACACCACCGTCAACGCGCCACAGAGCGTTCCTTGTGGACGCGGCACTCACGATTACCAGCCCCATAGTGCGCGTGTCGTCCGTTTCCCGTGTCGTGCGATTCCGGTGTTGGGTGATTGTGGTCGCCTTTTGACTGAATGCATGGCGGACGGGTGATTTAATGTCCCTTTTGTGTAGGTGAGACAGCTGGCTGTTAACGAAAAGCCTTCGCTGGGGATGGTCCCACCGTACGCGCAGACGCAAGTACGAACATTTGAAACGCGAGTGTTGTACAATGCTAATGTGTCCGCTCGTGAGGCCTCCTCGACATCGCCTTCTTCTGGAGGGCGGGGTCGGCGAAGACGATCTCGCAGGACCAAGCACCATCGCCGGAGCGGTGGATCGTGTGCTTCGTCCTGCAACCGCTCGTTGTCGATTGCTTCGCTGGGGTCCGATGCCTCTCTGGACTCTCTTTGTTTCAGCACCTCCAGTTACTACAGTGAGTACTTGAGAGATCGCCACCATCTTCGTGAATACATCGGGAGCGGGGAAGCAGACACGGGCTCTCTGAGACAGGCGCTGGACTCCTACTGGAAGAAGTACGGCTCCAAGGGGTGTGTGGACCGCCGCATTCCTCATTCTCCGAACTGCAAGCATGCGACCAAAGGCAAGCACTGTCGTGTCTGCGGAAAATGTTGTCATGGCGGCTCTTGTTCCTGCGGCAAGAAGGAACCTGAAAAGCGCGGCCGTCGTTCGCCTTCTGGCAGCAGACGTCGGGCTGGTGACCGAAGCCGCCCTTCTCCGGATGCCGGGCGACGCTACTCCAGAGGCGCTCATTACTCAGACGACCGAGCCTACGATCGTGCCTACGATCGTGCCGACGATCGTGCCGACGATCGTGCCTACGACCGTGCCTACGACCGTGCTTACGACCGCAGATTGCCGCCTTGCCATTGCAGCCGGAATTGTATCTGCAGAGATGGCAGATACGACGAGTGCCACAGCCATGGCCATTCTCCTGTGCGTAGGGACTCTCGCGACCGGTATCCCCGTTACGGGTCTCGGGATCGTTCGACGACCGGCCGATACAGACCGAAAGGCGGTGACAGCTATGGTCGTCCCGGAGAGCATTCTGACGAAGACTATAGCGGAGATAGTGCCGTTCGTAGAAATCAGCGTAAGCCCCTAAAGCGTCTCCCGAGAAAACTCTACAAGGGCGAAGAAGGTACTGAACCGTATTCAGATGACTATGACAGTTTTGCGGTTCGCGATGGTCGCGATGGTCGCGATGGGCGGGATGGTCGAGACAGTTACAGAGGACGGTCTCGTGCAGATGATTACGTGATTGTGATAGGCAAAGATGTGACGCATTTGGTGAGCCCCGGTGAGAGAGACCGGTTGGCGAGAGAGTCAGGCTTGGCAGGAGCGGCCAAGTTGTACAGAGGCGCAAGGTCTCCTTCTCCCAAGAGCAGAGTAAGCGACACCCACATAGACCGAGTCCAAAAGCGCTCTGAGTTTAGAAGCATAGGTCCTGAACGGGGTGCGAGCGCGGAGCCGGGAAGAAGCGAGACAGCGAACACTTGCCCAAGATGCAGGGAAACCTCACCGCTGGTATGTACGTGTTCCTCTTCTCCCATAAGCCGTAGGCCCTCTTCAGGCCGGCCCCAGGAACCTGGCAGGATACCCTACGGGCCGCCAGCCACAATGAGAATGCGGTCCCCTCAACCGGCGCAGCAGGTGGTGGCTCCCCAAAGCCTTAACCCTCCATACAATCCCGCTAATTCGCAACCGCCGATGACGGAAACTCCGATGACGGAAGCTCCCAGAGCATTAACAGCGGCTGCTGCACAGGGGGTTGAAAGAACTTATTCGCCAGCACAGGCACCCTACTATCACTACTACTCAGGTCTACCTTCTCAGAAGATGAACTCCTTCGCGCCTCGGACGGCAACACGTCTGGATAAGTCTGGTAAGTCCACCGCAGGCGTCGAAGGAGTACGTCCGGCCACAGACTCCATGTGCGTGTCCACCTTGGAAGTGGAGTCCCAGTAGTATCTTTTTTATCCGACCGACGCGTGCGGGATCAAATAAACGCGGACACAGTGGGGTCTCGGGTGGGGTCTCGGGTGGGGTCTCGGGTGGGGGCTCGGCTCGGGTGGGGGCTCGGCTCGGATTGATAAAACAAATACGTGTGAACAAATGCGTGTGAACAAATACGTGTCGACAAATACGCACCGAAAAGCATTCTCAATTTGGTTCCCACACGTCATATTTCCGACGGCTCTCGAGGTCGTCGTTGTCATCCCGTGCGGTGAAGGGTTGTTCATAATCGTCTAGCGTGTGCTCGATGACTTCTTCCAGCCGTTCTTCAGGCACGTACTGCAGCCAGCCCAAGTTCGGCTCGTCACCTGTTGGTCCGGCAGCAGGGTCTGCGGCGGCGGGTGGTGGTTCCTGTTCAGGAAAGGTGGATCTTGTATGGTGGTTTTTCCCTTTCCGTTGGTCTAAGTCCATTACAACAACTTGGGGAGTGCCGGTTGCTTTGAACACATCATTGACGGTTGCCTCAGTCCCTATTGCGGGTGGATTCAGCACATAGGGTTCGTTATCACTGCTGTTGGAAGAACTATAAATCTCGTGATCTTTTTCATATGCCTCCCTCGGACCCCCACGTCTGCCAATGGGTCTGTCGAGGGATGAGGAAGATGACTTGAGGTACTCAGACTTGAGGTACTCAGGTTTAATCATGGAGGTATCATCATCGGGTATACCATAAAGACCAGTTGGATCGATACCGGTTGGATCAAAGGCAGCACCGGCCATTAGTTGACCTTGGTCATCATCGTCATCAGGTAGCACTTGCACCCTATTTAATTCAGTACTTCTCCTTTTTAACATCCTCAAATCTTCATCATCATCATCATCGGTTAATTCATCATCCAGTACATAAGAAAAAATATCTATTGGTTTCCTTGATGTTTCCAATTCTGTTTGTACATTTCGGAGGCATGTACTTTCTTGTAATAATTGATCTTTTACACCTGCCTGTTTCAATTTCAATTCAGTATCTTGACCTAGATTTTCTAAAACGTGAATCTGCGCATTTACACAACTATCATACATCGATTGACAGTTTTTTTGTAGCCTCTCAAGCTCAGTTACCTTTTGGAAATATTCCATGATCATCATTTCCTCATTTCTACCATTAGATTTTATTTTATTATTAATTTGTTTGATCAATACATCCTTATTTAATTCCAACTTTTCTAAATCCCTTTCCTTAATTAATTGATCATATGAAACACCAATAAATGATGCCATTAAATCAGATGACATATAAGGTGTTAATTTAACCAAATGCTCTATGGCCATAGCGAATTCTGTTGATAATACTTCGATATAACTAAAACTACTAGGATCAATACAATCTGATGCAAAACGTATAGCATGACGTTTGGTAATTAATCTTAACCATCTTGTTTCAGATATTGATATATCAAATTGACGAACTGTTCCTAATGGGCTTAAATAATAATCACAGAATATATTATTGATTGTTCCATTATTATTATTGATTGTTCCTCCAGCATTATTATTGATTGTTCCATTATTATTATTATTGATTGATATTAAATCCTTACCTGATAACCATAATTCTACTATATAATCTTGATGATATTTATTCATATCCATTAATTCTAAACCTTTTAATAATTCTTTTAATGTTGATGGTGTTTCTGAATATATTTCGCGCATTTTACGAATGAATTCAAAACAATATCGGCTAAGTAATGATACTGTATCAGCATGTAGCATACAAGAATAACGTCCACTACATAATGCTTTTAATCCGTGATTAATTAGTGATAATGTATAACCATCATTTTTTCCTAATGGATTTGTACTGGTAGGTAAATCTTCACCGGCAGGTTTGAATTGTTTAAGTATTAGATTTTTATTAGTAGGATTATAAATAAGTCTAGTCTCTAAGATCTGGGCGATCTTAAAGAAAAATTGGAATGATAATTTTGGGTATATTTTCTTGAACCAATTTTGAGGTATATTATAACCAGATTTATGTAATTTACTTCTCCATCTATAATCAGTATATGATATTAATTTACCATATTCATAAATAGTAATTAATAAATATATGATTAATTGACCAATAATACTTAACCAAATAAAGGTTATAAACCATCTTTGATATTTTGTAGAATTGATTGTACTAAAATCAAACACAACATTATCATCAGTTTGATTTATTTTCTCATAGAACATTATTGAGCCTAACATCATGAATTCACCATATAAATCACAGATGCTTATACCATAAAATGTACGTAATGTATGAGGTCTTTTAATTATTAATATTAAGCATATTAATGATTTTATCATTAATGCTAATCGTATATTAAATAATAGTCGATTTGATGATAAAGGTGCTATAATAACAAACCCTTGTATCATAAATCTTGCAGCAATTAATATTGTCCAGGTACTTGGTTTATATCCCATCAACATGATTTCAGCTAATGGACGAATTGTGGTTGTAAAATGACCCCCTAATATTCGATCTTCTATATTAGCTTGATATGACAATGTTTGACGACCCAAATTAGCTCGTATAGGACCATTTGAAGAAAGCAACTTGTCATCAATATTACTGCCCGTGGCAATTTTATTCGTGGCAATTTTATTCGTGGCGGCAATGTTTAATTTTATAGCTCCTGGTCTTATGCTCGTTCTCGATCTCTGTTCCAAACCCTTTCTTGCTTGCCTCCCGCCTTTACTCAATCTTGAAAACTGGGTAATCTCATGCCAATCATACGTCCATGTAATTACTATGGGAATTGATAGAATGTAAATTACACCCAAAATTCCAACAAATGTTTGTAACACAATTTTCTTCATCTTTTTCGGAGCATCATAACCGCAATGCGCACTATAAATCTGTCGACCTAGAAGATGATCATATGTATCTATACATGATAGAGCCATAACCATCGACAATATCACCTTTGGGAGGTATGACAACCATATTAATGAAATTGTCGGTAAAATTGTCCTTAATGTATTACGTATAGTAAATGGCAAAATGGGGTAGATTCCTATTAGACGGTATAGTAATCGATACAATACCATTTTTTGATAAACAGTCTCGTATTTAATCAACAAACGAACCGCTTCAAAATAATTGTCGCCAAATGCGTTCTGTATAGTTCTCAATAAATTCCCTTTTGTAAAGGGAGGCAACACAACACGAGCCGGTGTTATATAAGCATCCGTCTCTAATGAATAAAATGCACGAGCGTCTAGCACCATACGACATAATTCATCGTTTAATTCTTCCTTCATCGAATGCAGTTTATTGAATTCCAATACCGCTTCTCGAAATGATCCTCGACACGCCATATCCCCTTCATCTGCAATTCCATCGGCCATTTGGTTTGCCGTCCCGGACTTGCTCAAGAGCTGAACTCCATCAGAAGCAGACACTGCTGCAGTATGCCTGGCGTCGCTCCGAACTTGTCCCCACTGTTCCGTAGACCTGGCCACAGCATGACTTTTTAATATGGATTTATGAGTGTTACCATCGGATGCCTGCGGCTGTTCAGGTATTCCGTCCGACCTTTTATCAGATGGAATTGCGTCCTCAGACATCCCTCTTGCGGATTCCACAGAACCAGACTTCCGTAAAGCCGGTTCTACGGAAGCCGGTTCTACGGAAGTCGGTTCTACGGAAGTCGGCTCTACAGAACTTATTTTCCTTCTATCCTCATAGTCCCTATCCTCATAGTCCCTATCCTCATAGTCCCTATCCTCATAGTCCC